CACCTCGTCCATCACAGAGTCCTCGTTATTTCCTTATTTCCCTCAAGTCACCCTATATACACCATCCGACTTTCCTCATTTATTTGCAGTTTCGAAATACCTTTGGTTGGTTGCTTGAGCGCACTGGGGATAAACCTACGAGGTTGCCTGGCCTGAAATGGCCCCTCAACGATATGAAGCAGTATGTTATTCTTTACCATTGCGGCGTGGTCGGCCAGTCTCATCACTAACACTTTTCAGCTAAACACGCACGACGACGACGACGTCGATTCTCCTATCTCTCCAGACACTGCTGGTCCTATTCCATCCTCACCACCACCGTCATTCCGATCTAGAGCCTCCTCACCCACCTCCAGGCGCCTATTGGCCCAGGATCCGTTATCTACTCACGCCGATCAAGATCATTTGGAGGACACCTTTGACGATGGTGAGGCTTCTGATGCCGAGAATGACGGCGACGACAGACAACGATTGATGAGAGCCGACACTGGACTCTCCAGACAAGATGCATCCCCCTCCTCAACCGCTGTTCCCGAGACCCGGCCAGCGCGTACCTATGAACGAAGAGTGACGGAACTCCCTGCCTTCAGACCTATGCCTGCGTCCATGAGAGCCACCGATGGAGTTTTTGCAAATTTGTCCGCAAAGCCTGAACGTGGCGAGCAGCTCGAAGAAAAGCCTCCCGTATGTATCTTTTGCGCAAAACCGCTCGGCATGATTTCGCTGACTTCTGTTAGACATATGAACAAGCCGCTGCTGATGCGACTCCCCCTTACTGGGAGACCACAATCCTCGCACCTGGGATGTCCTCAGATGAGGTCTATGTCGATGGCCTGCCTGTTGGATCCGTTTTCTCGTTTGTGTGGAACGGCATGATTTCTATGTCCTTCCAACTCGTCGGCTTCCTACTCACTTACCTTCTTCATACCACTCACGCAGCCAAGCATGGTAGTCGCGCCGGCCTCGGATTGACGCTTGTACAATACGGTTTCTATATGAGCGGTTCCAGTGATAGTCCGACCGACACCGGAAATCCAGGGCAGTTTTCAAACTCCAGCCCGCCTGATCCAAACAGTCACAGCTTCGACCCCAATACTGTGAATGGAGGCGGAGATCAGTCTCCGGGAGGATCTAGCAACATGGGGGGTTTCACCAGCGCAGATTGGATTTCCTACATTCTCATGATTATTGGTTGGTTTATTTTGATCCGGGCCGTATCAGACTTTTTGCGGGCAAGAAGACACGAGGCCCTCGTTTTGCAGAGTCCCAGTCGAGGACTGCCTGTCCCCGTCGTGGCTGAGGGCGAAACTCCAGAGCAGACAGCTTGAGTCTTTGTCCTAGATCACTTGTTTTTACGAGAAGGTTTGTGGCTTTGTCTTATTGTTGGACGACCGGCCCTCTGGATGTGTCTCGTGTGTAAATATAAAATGCATGCTTGTCAAATCAAACGGACATCAGTCGACTCGAGAATGGGAATGTTTATAAGAGACGGGGCAAAGTGGAGGTCAATTCGGCATGAGTCTGTCTTTATCGGCTATGCTCTGATGCTCTCTTTCATGCAGGACAGGAACAAGAATATACCCAGTGGTTTTATTCCCCCGCCATGTCCGTTGAGTATCTGACTGCATGCTATGCGTGCTGGCTGACCTTCCACCGTGACATTCTATTTCTTTTTCATCCTCCATGAATTGATTTCCACTGCCACGGTTCCGGGCATCAGGGCTCAAACAAAAGCGATCTTGCGACGTGTTCAGACAACAAAAACAATTCAAGAAAGACCAGACACGCTCATGCGCCAATCTGTGTTGCTCTGATATTGATCTTTGCTTTCTATCTCTTCAGCCTCCAACTTTGTCCGGGTCATCTATCTAGCTTGCTGGCTGGCAAGCTGGCTAGCTTGACGGAAACACTTGAGTGTGGATGGTAGGGTGCGAGGGATTTAGTGGCTCATGTCAATCTTATTCTCCAGCTTCCTCTCGTCGCGCAGCTGCGTCAATCGCTCCAGCGCCTTCTCCAGCGGAATCAGTTCGCCCATCTTCTGCGTGGATGGGTCGTCTCTGTTTCGAATGTTCACGGTGCGGGTCTCCTTTTCTTTCGCGCCGACGACTAGACAAGCCAAAGTTAGCAGGGTGAACCGCGATTGGGAGATGATCAAAGGCCAAAAACCCAAGGAGAGGATTCTCTCCTATCCCCATTGCCCCGGAGTTTTGCATTCTGCTTTTGTGGGAAAGGGATAGATAGAAAGATAGAAAGAGAGAGATACATACCAAAGATGAAGTTATATTGCGCCAACTGGCCCGTCCTGATCTTCTTTTGCAACGTGTTTCCGCTGACATCAATATCCACGTACATACGCGCCTTGTGGAAAATTCCCTGGATCTCGCGCACGTAATCCTCGGCGGACTTCATGACGGGGATAACGAGGATCTGGCGGGGAGAGAGCCAGAACGGCCATTTACCCGCAAAGTGTTCACAGAGGATGGCGATGAAGCGCTCAAAGGAGCCGATGATGGCACGATGGATCATCACTGGACGCGCCATGCCCGGAGCTGGTGCTTTGGGATCGCGCTCGCGGTGTTCCTCGGATTGCTGGGCGACAACATCCCCAGACTCGCCGGTGCGGTATTCAAGCTTGAAGTTCTGGGGGCCCTGGAAATCCAGCTGGATGGTCGCACACTGGAACTCTCGGCCCAGCGCATCGGAAATCGTGACATCAATCTTGGGGCCGTAAAAGGCACCATCGCCCTCGTTCATCTCCCAGTCGTCCCCTCGGAAGTTGACCAAGGCTTGCTTCAAGCGAGCTTCGGCTGCGTCCCAGTCTTCCAGTGTGCCCATGTATCCCTCAGGTCGCGTAGAGAATTTCAACTTGAACGGGAACCCGAACAAACCGTAGACATGAGACATGAAGTCGAACAGGGCCTCGATCTCGGATTGCACTTGTTCGTTGGTGCAGAAGATGTGCGTGTCGTCTTGCTGAAACTTGCGCACTCGGGTGAGGCCAGAGAGAGCGCCAGAGGCCTCGTTGCGATGAAGCACACCAAAGTCCGCCACTCGCCAAGGTAGCTCGCGGTAGGAGCGCTCTTCGTCGCGGAACATGACGCAGTGGCCTGGACAGTTCATGGGTTTCAGAGCGAAGACACCCTTGTCTTTATCCTTGATTTCTGCGAGAGGGGTCTTGCCGTCTGGCTTTTTGTCGCTCAGCGGCATAGGGTCGGCAGAATCTTCCTTCACTATCACGCGGAACATGTCGTCTTGGTAATGTTGCCAGTGGCCCGAGATTTTCCACAAATCCACATCGTACATATTGGGGGACTGGACCTCCTGATATCCCCGTTCCCAGTATTGGTCGCGGAGCATTTGTTGGAGAGCATTGAAGATGCGAGTGCCATGGGGAAGCAAGAACGGTGAGCCAGGAGACATTCGACTGAACATGAAGAGTTTCTGCTGTTGGCCGATGACCTGGTGATCACGTTTCTTGGCCTCCTCGAGGAAATGTTCCCAGTCTTTGAGTTGTTGTTTCGTGGGGAAAGCGACGCCGTGAATGCGCTGAAGGGAGTCATTGTTCTGGTCGCCCAGGAAATATGCAGAGCTGTTCTTCATGATCTTGAAGGACTCGATTTTGCGCGTGTTCTGGATATGTGGGCCCTGGCACAAATCTACCAACGTGCCATTGCGATACACGGTGGATGACTCCCCGTCTGGCACAAACTTCTCAATGTAGTGCATCTTGTATTTGCTGTAGCCAAACATTTTGCGGAGATTATCCTTGGAGACTTCGAGGCGTTCAAAGGCTTGTTTGTCCTTTGCAAATCTCTTTGCACGGTTCTCTAGGGAGGGCCACTCGGCTTCACGGACGGCCTTGCCAGGCTCGAGAGCCATGTCGTAGAAGAAACCCATAGCGGTGGGAGGACCGTGAGAGAGGCGACAGCCGTACTCGTGCTCAGCACATTCACCAAGCACATGGGCTGAAGAATGCCAAAAGACATCACGGCCTTCGGGGTCGTCGAACGTGAGATATGACACTTTGCTGTTCTTTTCCAATGGTCTGTCTAGATCCCACAATTCGCCATCGACCTTGGCCACCACGACTTGCCCAGCGCGGTCTTTGGGCAGATTCTTCAGCAGGTGACCAGGCGTGGTTTCCCATGCCTTGCCCTCAACGGAGGTTTCCTGGCCAGGGGCGGGAACAAGGGTGACTTGAATTGTTGGTTTATCCCTGCTGGCGAGTTCTTCGTCACGCTGCTTCTTCAGCTGGTCGAAGAGCTGGTTTCTTTCTAGGATGAAATCGGGTAGAGACTTGGGCGCTTGGTGCGCCTCAGGGGCGGCTGCTTGAGTAGACATTTCTTTGGGTCTGTTGGGGAGTTTCTTGCTCGAAGTTGGGCTCACCGGTCTCTTTGATGTTTTGGCCTCAGGGGTTGATGAGTCAGTGGCAGCGGAGCGGGTTTGAGTCACACCGTCTCCTTTCAAGACCCCCCAAAGATCGTGTGGATTGAGACTCGCTTTCTTCTGGTGGCTCATAGCGAAAGACCTGAGTGGAGATGTATGCGGATTGAATATTATGCCGCTCAAGTGGGTATGGCAAGTGGTGGCCGTCCGTAAAAATGAGGTGTCAGTCACGTGCCGGCCGACCACGGCTCTAAACATGGAGATGCAGATGCAGCAAAATTATTTTTCCCCAAAGATTCAAGGACAGCCTGCCACAACTCCCACTGTCCACAACAACAATGGCCTTCCGAGGTGATGCGCGAGGACGTGGCGGCTTCAGAGGTGGTGATAGAGGAAGAGGATCGTTTGGTGGAAGAGGTGGAGGTAAAATTATCTCTTGCCCCGAAACTCGAAATTGCGCGCACTTTTTTGCTGCGGCGGAGAAATGTGACTGACCGACGGTGGTGAGCAGGGCGAGGTGGATTCCAACAACAGAGCTTTGGCCCGCCTGCACAGGTCTTTGGTAAGGCCCTGAGTGTGTTTGCGACTTGCTTGTGACTAATTTGGTGGTAGAAATGGGCACCTTCATCCACGCCACCGAGGGTGAGATGGTCTGCGAGTCCGTCAACGCAAAGATACCCTTTTTCAACGCCCCAATATACCTCGAGAACAAGGTAGAGAGATTCTCTCTGGCTCGTCTGGACTACTCTGACCGGCACAGACTACCATAGGAAAAGTGGATGAGATCCTGGGACCCATCAACCAAGTCTACTTCACAATCAAGCCGCAAGAAGGCATTCAAGCTACGTCGTTCAAGAAGGGTGACAAATTTTACATTGGAGGGGACAAGTTGCTACCACTAGAGAAGTAGGTCTTGAAACAAACATGGGAGATGTGCAGCTTGCTAAGAAGTGACGAACAGGTTCTTGCCCAAACCCAAACCGCCACCAGGTGAGTCTCGCATGATTCTTTCAGCATACATGTTGCTTACACTTTGAGCAGGTGCAGCAAAGGTCAGGAAGCCGGCGGGTGCACAAGGAGGAATGAGAGGAAGAGGAGCGTTTAGAGGCCGGGGTGCACCTGGACGGGGAGCACCCAGAGGCAGAGGCTCGTTCGGTGGAGGTGGTCGAGGAGGTCCCAGAGGCGGGGGTCGTGGAGGAGCACCAGGAGGACGTGGCTTTTCGAGAGGAGGTGGCTTCTCTTCCAGAGGCCGTGGCAGGTTCTAAAGGACAGCCTGACCTGTCGTTGACCTGTCAAACGTGGCTGCCTCTGTTTCGCATAGTACCGGCGTTGGGAAGGATACCCGTTCTAAAAAGTGGTGGCCAGAGATGGTCTGGGAACTTGGGAAGGCTAGCAACGGTCACTAGTAAAACATGGGCTGATGATTTCTTATGTTTGAACCAAGGGGAATCTCTCCAGTAGAGACTCCTGGTCTGCTCAAATGGAGCGAGTTAGAGGGTCTCGAATTCTCAGCATTGGCTTTCGTGTTCCTGGCACGTGATGGGCCCTTTTTCTCCCAGTGACGGAAGCCACACGCGCTGCATAATGACGACACAAGCCGCACAGCCTGAAGTTTGCTGATCAGTGACTTGACTGCGGCTGTGCCTTGGTTCCTCAAAAGTCCAAGTCCGTCGCGTTGATCGAGCTTTTATTTCCCCTGCCTGTCCTGTCCTATCCCGTGGTATTACCTTGCCCTTTTCCTCGAACACCCTCTTCTCTAATCCTAGACCTCCGAATCCTCAACTTTTTCATCTTCCTACACCCAAGCACGAAAGCCATGTCACGGCGAGCGGGGTCCACCAATGGCGTCGAGAAACAAAGTCCTGCGCAGCCCAAGGATAATGCTCAGTCGAAGCAAGCAATGCTGTTATCTCAAGACACAGGACATTTTAGTCTGGTCAGGTGCGTGCAGTATCGCTTCCGTCCGCGGCAAAGACTCACAGTTGGGCAGGGCGCTTCATCTCGCCGATCTGATCACTGAAATGAATGGTGAGTCTCACATACGCCCTGAAATAGGACACACATGCTAATACCCAACCAGGTTTCTGTGGATGTGCGTCTCTCAACATGGGACATTGTCCTCGCTGCTGACACGTTGCACAGTCATGTCAATTCTCTCCTCGATGCGTTATTGTCTCGCAGACCCAAGCGATCTCACAAATCTATGGCTCGCCTTCGGCTTAATGCCCTTTGGACTATTCTTCGACTTTCTGGATGGCAAGGTGGCGCGGTGGAGAGAGAAGTCATCCCTGATGGGTCAAGAGTTGGACTCGCTTGCAGATTTGGTATGCTCGAAAATATATGTTAGTCTGCTGGCATGATCCTGACAGCGTGTTCTCTAGGTCACATTTGGCGTCGCTACCGCTGCCGCTGGGTTCGCCATGGGATTTCGTACAAACGTCGATCAGCTCTTCCTGAGCTTCTACGTTCTCTGCGGACTGACGAGACTGGCGCGATTCAATGTGACTGTTGCAATGCTACCGAAGGATAAGTCTGGGAAATCAAAGTACTTCGAGGGCACGCCAATACCGTTTGCTTGCTTGATAAGCTTGACGATGATGACTGCTTGCGCTTGGTCTGGGTGGATACATGGAGATATCCCCTTGGGGACTTTCTTCAGTGGAACCGCGCTCGAGTTTCACCCCTTGGTGGTGATCTTTCTTGTCAATGGGGTTCTCATGACGAGCAGAACATTACACGTCCCTAAACCGTAACGGGCTATTGGATCTGTCGCTAGAACGAATGAAATATTTGAGAGGTTACGGGTCTTTACGAGCTGGGTTGGACTCTACGGCAAAGACCTTCAGCGTCTGTGGAATATACATGGCAATGGCATGGCATAGCATGTACTTGGGGTTTACGAATAGCACTCGGTGAGAAATCCACCGGAATCAATGACTTTTCTTCGTCCTTTCAATGGTGCATGCATATGTTGCCGGGATGCAATAGACAGCGGGTTTCTCAGCAAAGTTATTTTGCATTTCCTCTGCAGTCTTAACATCTCAATTTTCTGGTCTGCTCAGACTCCCATCACTTTTGGGCATTTCTCATTCTCATTCTCCAATATGTGCACGGCATGTGAGACGAGGTACCAGGTACCCAAGGTGACTTTGATGAACGCCATCCGTGGCGCTGATATTTCATCTTGCAAAGAAAAATTCCATGCATTGTATGTTATGTAATGTAATGTAATACCGACACCACGTCTTGCGGATATATGATATACCGCTGGGGCACTGGGACACGGGGTCACGGTTCCGGACGGTCTACAAAGAGACGGTTCACGCTATTGTCTCGTGAAGAGAGGATGGGGGAGACAAGACAGCCGAGAGTGAAACTCCCGAGGGGAAAGGAAAAAAGAAGCTAAGAATGGGGTTACAGTTTATGTACTGTAGAATCTCGTTGACCATGTCTAAAAAAAAGATGACCGCCGGCTCCAAGGAACATCTTGAGGGAGTATTAAAAAGCCCAGCCCAGCCCAGCCCACTCCAGTCCAAGAAGAGGAAAAGGAGGAGGAAGAGGGGGGTGTTGCCTGTGCTGGATCTAAAACCGGCGTCCTCCAGCCCTAGACCGCTGGATGCCCTTGAGGGTCTGGATCCTCCTCAGACTCCGCATGCCGTGCATGGAGAACAGGGCGCTGAGGACGACGCAGGCGCCCGTGACGTAGAAGAAGCCATGGGGCGCGTCCTCGAGGTAGTTGAGGAGGTTCATGCCGAAAAGGCCGGCGGCCATGGTGCCGGCGGCGAGGCCGAGGGTGTGAATGGCGATGCGGGCCTCGAGGAACATGATCTGGTTGCGCTGGACGGCCAGCGACGAGCGGAACGTGTTCTCCTTTCTGCGCAGGACGTCGACGGCCGCCTGCGCAGACTCGACCAGCGTGTCGGCCGCCTTGTGATACGCCTCCAGCATGTACTCGGCCTCCTGGTGGTCGGCTATCGCGTGCGGCCGCCCTGCTACCCTGTCCGAGAGGTACATGCCCGCCAGGTCCTCGTCCGTGTCCAGCACCTCGCGGATCGTGTCCCGCACCAGCCGCGCCTTCTGCTCGATCTTGCTCAGCCGCCGCGTCCGGTCGAAGACCAGGTTCAACCCCACCGCCGCCAGGCCCGAGTCGAGTCGCAGGCTCGCCGCCGATTCTTCTGCCTTGTGCCGCGCGTCGATGAGGTCGCGTCGCAGCACCGAGAGCACCGCCACCAGCGCCGCCTCTACGGCGCGCAGCTCGTACGGCAGTTCAGGCACGTCGGCCGTCTCGATGGTCGGGCCCGACATGCGCTTTTCGAATTCGTGGTAGAACTCACTGTCGTCTTTCCGCGGAGAGGAGTCATCAGCGCCGTTACTGTCGTCGTTGTCGCTGTCACTGCTGGTTTGCGGCTGATTGTAGATCAGGAGTGCCTCGTCCGCCTGGATGATCATGCACAGCTGGAAGAATTGCAGCAGGATGGTGGTTGGCCTGACCAAGATGCGCGTCACCGCCTCGGATTTGAGGTCAATGTCCCGGAGGTCTCGGTGACGGAGTTCGAACTGCTCTCCAATCTCGGCCTTGGTGAGTTGCCTGTGCTCGGCGTTGAAGCGGCCGGATTTGTCAAAGTAGATACAGGTGATTTTGCCATTCTTGGCGTTCAGGCTCGAGTCTGACGCATCCAGCGCGCCGTCTACAAGGTCCGTGTCCGAGGAGATCCTTTGCGTTGATGATGCTCGTCTGGCGGGATAAGTCAGGCATCTACCTGCATATTGCACTGGTGGTCTTGTAAGATGGCGACATCCTAGAGTCCAGGTTGAAAAGAGAGACTTCTGTGGGAAGACCCAGAGAAGGCGAGGTGACAGTCCGCAACACTCGACTGTTCGGGTCCTGATCGAGCTCGGAATCCCGAGCTTAGTCCAGATCCTCATGATTTATCCTTTCACTTCGTCACCGAGTGGTTCGGACTTCCATTGCGCCCCTGCCTTTCGTCACAGGCGGGATTCGATGGCTGAGCGAGGCAAGAGAGTTCGGTGTATGGAGGATAGTTGAATTGATACTGATTGACAAACATGCCAAATCTCCACATCTGGTTTATTATCAAGCGCGACAGCCTTGTGCTGACGAGGCTGAAGGTTGACGTCATACGTTCGGATCCGCAGCACCACCCATGCGCACTTCTATCAACAACTCGTAAGTTTCCACTGACATTTCTCCGGCCGCAATACCGTTGTAAATGAACTATCCAGAAATACAGTATATGCGTGCTAGGACTTCAGACCGAGGCACGTGTATCTCAGCGAGTCAGTCTATCAAGGAAATAGCTACATACATTAGCCTTCCACCGCTCAAGCCGAGTATCAAGACATCTAGCCGGTTCGGAGATGTGATGAGATCCATCCGGCATATTTTTGGGCACTGACATACTCGCTGGCCTATACACGCGGCAATCCTCTCGTCATTCAGAGCAACCTTCCATTCTCGCAGATATTGAGATAAGCACAAGCTCGCACACCAAAGACATGTCGAGAAACCCATGGTTCCAAGGGGCCTGAGTCCAGAAATGCCAGTAGTGAAAATCTTCTCGTATAAGCACTCTACTTCAAGCGTAGTACCACTTCCCGAAGAACTTCCGGCAGTCAGCGAGAATAATGTCTGGCCGTTCCAATGCAGCAAAATGACCGCCATCATCGCACTCTGCACGGTGGTGAGACTCTCAGCACGTCCTTTGGGGGAATTCGGTGCGAGAAACTCACCATTATAGAACACGAGTCGTCCCGTCTTCCTCACGCTTCTCTCGGTCCCTGGCCTTGTGTCATAGAGGAAGCTGGTGTAACCCATAGGCACCCCGATATAATTCTCTTGCTTCAGGAAGAAGTTGCCAAAATCTGCATGCTTGACACCTTCGAAATATGGCAGACTCGAAGACATGATACAGTCTGTGAAATAATACAGAGAGCATGTGGTGAGAATTGCTTGGTCCCATATTGGATCTGGAGACTCAACCTTTGCGGGAGCCACAGCCTCCAGATATTTCTCCCCGACCCAGGCGAGTATTCCGACCGGGTTATCACTCAGCGCGACACCAATGGTCTGTGGACGGGTCCGCATACAAACAGCATACCCGAGATGGTTATCCAACCAATCTTGGCAGCGTTGTTTGATTTTCACCTCACGGGGTGTAAGGTCTGTGATACTGTCATCCAGCTCAACCGGACAGAAGTTCAGATGGACTGCTTTGCACTCTGGGAACTTGACACCCATTTCACG